CTCTACTTTTCATCAAGAGCTTTAAAAAAAAGAGTGGTTAGGTAAAGCGTTGTTTTTACTTCTTTTGGTAATAAAAACACTTCTAAATGCCACTTTGAATTTCAGAATTACAATTCCCTGGTGCTGTATCTTGTTCACTTCATGCTCGCCTTTTAAAAAGAATACCAACTGCTTTGCTCTTCATGGCAAAATTGTCTTTACTGAATTTCTGACTGTTATGCATGAAATTTGAATGTTACAGACCTCAGTCTCATCGACAAGGAATCAGATGACGTCTTGGAGAGGATCATGGATGAGAAAACAGCAAGTGAGTTGAAGATTTTATATGGTCACAGTGGACCTGTCTATGGCACCAGCTTCAGTCCTGATAGGTAAAACAAGTTTATGAGTTCGCTAGATAGCTTGTTCCGAGACTTGATCGTATGTTACTGCTATGAACATGTTAATGCAGCTTTTTCCAGAAGGTGAAAGTGATTCTTGTGTACACAGGTTATAAGGAACTGCTAGGTGGGAGTGTAAGTGCTCAGTAAACCCTGAGTAAGGGCAAGTGTTTGCCCTTGTCAGCTTTTACTGAAATCAATGAGGAGTCAAGGATGCCCTGCACTTTTATTGAGATTTGGGACTTAAATGGCAAAATAGACCAAGTTGCAATTTCAACTGGGTTTTAGCTAAGTGAATTGTAGAGAGGGAAACTACTGCAGCATCGATCTGACATGTGATAATGTAAAACATAAAAATGGACTGAACATAACTTCTCTCTGCACTTATTCAAGTTTCCCTTATGTCCTATAAGCCTTTATTTTCAAAATGTATAGCATGGTATCTTTGAAATGGAGGTTAAAAAACATGAGGTAACTGTGAGAGTCTGTACTGCAGAAAGTACATTCAGACAGCTGAAGTATTGCTCACGTGTATGTGGTTGCACAGGAAACAATCACAGCAGAAATACATCTGGAAAGTAAACTCTGTATAGAATCTCAGCATTTTGTTTAGTGTGTTGTTCTTGTTTTAAGTAATAGTGTAACCCCTTAGTGGGCATTCTTTCCATATAACTGGAATTCCTGATTAAAGGTGAGCTGCTTTCCTTCCCCGCTCCTATCCCTCTGCCCCAGTATTGCGATATCATCAAAAATGGTTTCATCAACATCCCAAACTGTCCTTATTTATTTTTTTTAAACATTAGGACCTAAATAAGATTCCTCTTGAACCTTACCTTGCCAGAAGTGTTCATTTCTATTTGACAAGCTGAACAACCGCTGGTCAATGGACAATTTCTCTTATCATAGAGCTCATAGTATTTCTGTAGATATAAACATATATGTGGAAATAAAGTTTGTGTGTAAGGTCCATATATAACACGCTCTACTTTCTCTTGTGACAGGAACTATCTCTTGTCCTGTTCTGAGGATGGCACAGTTAGATTATGGAGTCTGCAAACATTCACATGTTTGGTGGGATATAAAGGACACAACTATCCAGTATGGGATACGCAGTTTTCTCCTTATGGATATTACTTTGTGTCAGGGGGACATGATAGAGTGGCTCGGTAAGAAACCGGATGACTTTTTAACTTTGTGGTGGATGTGTCTTGAAACTGATTAGCTGAAACTTTCTAGCCCACTTTGTTGATAGGAATGAATTTTATTTCATGTGAATTAATATGTATATTTCGATGTAGTTTGTTTGCATTTCAACACACTAAATTAAATGAAAACAAATGAGATGGTGCACTCTTATGTGTCCATCTAATCATAAGTATTATCTTTCTATTGCTTAATAACATGACAGTATATTTTTCAGCTTCTGAAATGCATCCTTTTCCCAAGCAGCTTTTGCTACTTTATTAAAGTGTCCAGTCAGAAACCACTGCTTAGATACTTTTTCTATTCCTCAATGTACAACAGATCTCAAAATTCTTTAGGGTTTTCCGTGTTAATTAAATTTTTCTTTCAAGTCTATGGGCAACAGATCACTACCAGCCTTTACGGATATTTGCTGGCCATCTTGCTGATGTGACGTGTACCCGATTTCATCCCAACTCTAACTATATTGCTACGGGCTCAGCAGACAGGACTGTGAGGCTCTGGGATGTTTTGAATGGAAACTGTGTGAGAATATTCACTGGGCATAAGGTAAAGGCAAATCACTCACGGTGTGAAAGCGAGATGCTGAAAAGCAGTGTTCAGCACAAATTCAGCTTGACTGAAGGTGAGTAGACCTCATTAACTAATTCTGCCTAAATGTGTGTTTCAGGGACCAATTCATTCACTGGCATTTTCTCCCAATGGACGATTCTTGGCTACTGGAGCAACAGATGGGAGAGTTCTGCTGTGGGACATTGGGCATGGCTTAATGGTGGGAGAACTGAAAGGGCACACTGATACCATCTACGCACTGAGATTCAGTAGAGACGGGGAGATCTTGGCATCAGGTAAAACCCACTGGAGACAGGGAAGTTTCCATTGTGCTCCCTCAATCTGAAGCAGAACAGTATCACTGATTCTTTAAGATGAAGAAGGCAAATCACTTGCCTAGCAAAAGTAGCAGATTAAACTCTTTCCAAGCTGAGTATTTAAAGGACCACTAAGCATGAACTGAGAGAGAAGTGTTACACTGTTAAAGAGAGTGCAGTGAAGTTCAGGATCTGGGTACAGCAGCAGCAGAGCTTGAAGCAGGAATTAGAAATAACTCTCAGGTAGAAGTGGCTGTAGTAAGAGAGAGGCGGAATATTGGAATGGGAGGTGGACAAGCGGCAGGACTGGTGAGAGAGGAAGGGACCAGTTATGCATTACCTTGTTATTTCTTTATGCTAGATTATTGATGTAGAAATGTGTGTAATATTGCACGTGTATGTATTTACAAATATACATGCACATAGAAATACTCATATAACGATAGTCAGCTCTCTGAGCAGTGCTACTTCTGAGGTCTCCTTGTTTTTCCAGCTTGTCCATGCAGACTATCTGATGTCTAATATAGCAGAGCCTCTCCTCCAGGAGGAGGAACTAAATGTAGTGTCTCTAACTTCAGTCAACTGTTTGCATATTATGTGTAGTGATTTATTAATTTTAAATTGCTTTGCTCTGTAAACTAGTTGAAACTTAACAACACATTCAAGGTACTGATAGGAAAAAAACAATTCATGGAGAGGGCAATCATATAAGGATAACTTTCTTAGGAAAGGTTAAAAATATTTGAGACTTTTTTTTTCTTTTGTACATACCTAATTAAGTGCAGTGAAAATCCTTAGTAAACCACAACCACAGGAATGAAAGCTAGCAGATAAGGTATAGGTCTGATCCAGCCCACAGGCTCATTCCTTCAATATATCTCTTAATATTGTAAAGAAAACAGTTCTCTGGACCTATAAAATGATGCTGTCCTCCCTGTATGGAACAGAGAAACTGACACTTGTGATGGGATCATAAACATGTCCTGAAATCAGCTTCTAGACCTCAGGATAGTTGTACTTCCCGGTGCTGATCAGTGTAATCCAAACCCATATGCTTGGAGAAGGAATTTCCTTGGGCTTTATCCATAGCTTCCATTTGAGGTTGCATAAGGGTGGCAATCTGAGGACTTTAATGGGCGTTCAGTTAAGTTAGCGGCTCATTAGAATGAGGAGGAGGGCATAAGTATTCCCTGCTCCAAGCAAACCTTCCATGGGCTCTACTTTTTGTTAAATTTCTCCCCGTTTGTAAAGTGTAAGACCTTAAACTGTTTTTCTCCCATTTCCTCTTAGGTTCAATGGATAACACAGTTCGGCTGTGGGATGCTGTGAAAGCATTTGAAGATTTAGAAACTGATGATTTTACTACTGCCACTGGACATATAAACTTGCCTGAAAACTCACAGGACTTGTTACTGGGCACCTACATGACCAAATCAACCCCGGTGGTACACCTCCATTTCACACGCAGAAACTTGCTGCTAGCTGCAGGAGCCTATAGTTCACAGTAAATTACGAAGCTGTAAGACTGACTGCCAAGTCATTGCAGGAATGACCTCAGGGCTTGAGACGAGGAGGAATGTCTTGTACAGATGGACCCTGCTGGTTTGTTGGAGGAAGAAAAAGCAAAGCTATGTAAACTAATGCAAACAGCATCTTCTCAGTTCTGCATTTCACATTTGTCCACAATTTGAAAATACTGGAAATTGACAAGACATCGTGGCTTTGAAGGAAGGAATTGTTTCATGGTGCTTTTGATAAATACATATATACACGTGTATGAAAATGGCTGTCTCCTCTCAGAGATGGTTTTGAGCTCTGCTGAAACTTTTGGAAAGCTAACAGCCTCCATATGTGTTCTCAAACTTTTTTTAAAGCACTTAATTTATGGTTGGCAAATGTTTACTCTGTCTCAAACACAGGCAAAAACTGTTCACATGCACTCAGAAAAGAAGAATGTAGTGGAATTCACTGTAGCCTGGGCTGGGCAACAGATATGCTGAGAGTAATACTGCAACAAATCGGGCATTGAAAAAGTGGGCCCAACAGGTAGGGGCTGTGGGAACTACAAGGAAGTTGCAAGTTAGAGCTTTTCTGTATCCAAGTATTAACTCCTGTAAAGATTTCAAGTTCCTGCGCTCATTTGAGATGCTAGAAATGCAGATCTTGTAATTCTGTTTTCAGAGGTAGCCTACATGTTTTATGTGATATGCAACCAGAACTGAAACCTGAACACCTTGTTGTATGAAAAGAAGGAATTGAGGCACAACTGAGAGATTTTACTCTTAAAAACAGTGGACTTGAACCCTTCCGCAGTATATTAGAAAAGATCTAAAGAGATTTAAAAACCTGCTTCCTTTCTGCATGAGTCTTAATATATCAAATTGTAAATGTAGTGAAGAGCCAAGAAAACGAAACATTGCATCAGAAAGCTTAATCAGTCCTAAGTGCAGAATTTGCTTTTAAAGCTTTTCAAAGGTTGACTTGTCTGCAGAGGTGACAATTTCCACCTGCCAAAATGTTATCCCAGTTATCCCAATAAGTCTTCCTAGAAAATCAGTAAAGCTTGGAACTTGGCTTCTAAGGAAAACAAAACACTGGGAGGTTTAACCTATTTGTGTGTCTTTTAATAGAAGCAACAGCACCAAAGGACAGGTCCTGTTTCTTTCAAATCTTTTACAAGCTGCACAGGGGGAAATCTGTTTTGCATTCCTCTCTGCTTCCAGTAAGAGCTTGGACACTTGTACAATCTACTGCCTTTCCAGAGAAAATAAGAAAAGTAAATGAAAACAAATGAGATGGTGCACTCTTATGTGTCCATCTAATCATAAGTATTATCTTTCTATTGCTTAATAACATGACAGTATATTTTTCAGCTTCTGAAATGCATCCTTTTCCCAAGCAGCTTTTGCTACTTTATTAAAGTGTCCAGTCAGAAACCACTGCTTAGATACTTTTTCTATTCCTCAATGTACAACAGATCTCAAAATTCTTTAGGGTTTTCTGTGTTAATTAAATTTTTCTTTCAAGTCTATGGGCAACAGATCACTACCAGCCTTTACGGATATTTGCTGGCCATCTTGCTGATGTGACGTGTACCCGATTTCATCCCAACTCTAACTATATTGCTACGGGCTCAGCAGACAGGACTGTGAGGCTCTGGGATGTTTTGAATGGAAACTGTGTGAGAATATTCACTGGGCATAAGGTAAAGGCAAATCACTCACGGTGTGAAAGCGAGATGCTGAAAAGCAGTGTTCAGCACAAATACAGCTTGACTGAAGGTGAGTAGACCTCATTAACTAATTCTGCCTAAATGTGTGTTTCAGGGACCAATTCATTCACTGGCATTTTCTCCCAATGGACGATTCTTGGCTACTGGAGCAACAGATGGGAGAGTTCTGCTGTGGGACATTGGGCATGGCTTGATGGTGGGAGAACTGAAAGGGCACACTGATACCATCTACGCACTGAGATTCAGTAGAGACGGGGAGATCTTGGCATCAGGTAAAACCCACTGGAGACAGGGAAGTTTCCATTGTGCTCCCTCAATCTGAAGCAGAACAGTATCACTGATTCTTTAAGATGAAGAAGGCAAATCACTTGCCTAGCAAAAGTAGCAGATTAAACTCTTTCCAAGCTGAGTATTTAAAGGACCACTAAGCATGAACTGAGAGAGAAGTGTTACACTGTTAAAGAGAGTGCAGTGAAGTTCAGGATCTGGGTACAGCAGCAGCAGAGCTTGAAGCAGGAATTAGAAATAACTCTCAGGTAGAAGTGGCTGTAGTAAGAGAGAGGCGGAATATTGGAATGGGAGGTGGACAAGCGGCAGGACTGGTAAGAGTAGAGAGGAAGGGACGAGTTATGCATTACCTTGTTATTTCTTTATGCTAGATTTTTGATGTAGAAATATCCGTGTAATATTGCACGTGTATGTATTTACAAATATACATGCACATAGAAATACTCATATAACGATAGTCAGCTCTATGAGCAGTGCTACTTCTGAGGTCTCCTTGTTTTTCCAGCTTGTCCATGCAGACTATCTGATGTCTAATATAGCAGAGCCTCTCCTCCAGGAGGAGGAACTAAATGTAGTGTCTCTAACTTCAGTCAACTGTTTGCATATTATGTGTAGTGATTTATTAATTTTAAATTGCTTTGCTCTGTAAACTAGTTGAAACTTAACAACACATTCAAGGTACTGACAGGAAAAAAACAATTCATGGAGAGGGCAATCATATAAGGATAACTTTCTTAGGAAAGGTTAAAAATATTCGAGACTTTTTTTTTCTTTTGTACATACCTAATAAAGTGCAGTGAAAATCCTTAGTAAACCACAACCACAGGAATGAAAGCTAGCAGATAAGGTATAGGTCTGATCCAGCCCACAGGCTCATTCCTTCAATATATCTCTTAATATTGTAAAGAAAACAGTTCTCTGGACCTATAAAATGATGCTGTCCTCCCTGTATGGAACAGAGAAACTGACACTTGTGATGGGATCATAAACATGTCCTGAAATCAGCTTCTAGACCTCAGGATAGTTGTACTTCCCGGTGCTGATCAGTGTAATCCAAACCCATATGCTTGGAGAAGGAATTTCCTTGGGCTTTATCCATAGCTTCCATTTGAGGTTGCATAAGGGTGGCAATCTGAGGACTTTAATGGGCGTTCAGTTAAGTTAGCGGCTCATTAGAATGAGGAGGAGGGCATAAGTATTCCCTGCTCCAAGCAAACCTTCCATGGGCTCTACTTTTTGTTAAATTTCTCCCCGTTTGTAAAGTGTAAGACCTTAAACTGTTTTTCTCCCATTTCCTCTTAGGTTCAATGGATAACACAGTTCGGCTGTGGGATGCTGTGAAAGCATTTGAAGATTTAGAAACTGATGATTTTACTACTGCCACTGGACATATAAACTTGCCTGAAAACTCACAGGACTTGTTACTGGGCACCTACATGACCAAATCAACCCCGGTGGTACACCTCCATTTCACACGCAGAAACTTGCTGCTAGCTGCAGGAGCCTATAGTTCACAGTAAATTACGAAGCTGTAAGACTGACTGCCAAGTCATTGCAGGAATGACCTCAGGGCTTGAGACGAGGAGGAATGTCTTGTACAGATGGACCCTGCTGGTTTGTTGGAGGAAGAAAAAGCAAAGCTATGTAAACTAATGCAAACAGCATCTTCTCAGTTCTGCATTTCACATTTGTCCACAATTTGAAAATACTGGAAATTGACAAGACATCGTGGCTTTGAAGGAAGGAATTGTTTCATGGTGCTTTTGATAAATACATATATACACGTGTATGAAAATGGCTGTCTCCTCTCAGAGATGGTTTTGAGCTCTGCTGAAACTTTTGGAAAGCTAACAGCCTCCATATGTGTTCTCAAACTTTTTTTAAAGCACTTAATTTATGGTTGGCAAATGTTTACTCTGTCTCAAACACAGGCAAAAACTGTTCACATGCACTCAGAAAAGAAGAATGTAGTGGAATTCACTGTAGCCTGGGCTGGGCAGCAGATATGCTGAGAGTAACACTGCAACAAATCGGGCATTGAAAAAGTGGGCCCAACAGGTAGGGGCTGTGGGAACTACAAGGAAGTTGCAGGTTAGAGCTTTTCTGTATCCAAGTATTAACTCCTGTAAAGATTTCAAGTTCCTGCACTCATTTGAGATGCTAGAAATGCAGATCTTGTAATTCTGTTTTCAGAGGTAGCCTACATGTTTTATGTGATATGCAACCAGAACTGAAACCTGAACACCTTGTTGTATGAAAAGAAGGAATTGAGGCACAACTGAGAGATTTTACTCTTAAAAACAGTGGACTTGAACCCTTCCGCAGTATATTAGAAAAGATCTAAAGAGATTTAAAAACCTGCTTCCTTTCTGCATGAGTCTTAATATATCAAATTGTAAATGTAGTGAAGAGCCAAGAAAACGAAACATTGCATCAGAAAGCTTAATCAGTCCTAAGTGCAGAATTTGCTTTTAAAGCTTTTCAAAGGTTGACTTGTCTGCAGAGGTGACAATTTCCACCTGCCAAAATGTTATCCCAGTTATCCCAATAAGTCTTCCTAGAAAATCAGTAAAGCTTGGAACTTGGCTTCTAAGGAAAACAAAACACTGGGAGGTTTAACCTATTTCTGTGTCTTTTAATAGAAGCAACAGCACCAAAGGACAGGTCCTGTTTCTTTCAAATCTTTTACAAGCTGCACAGGGGGAAATCTGTTTTGCATTCCTCTCTGCTTCCAGTAAGAGCTTGGACACTTGTACAATCTACTGCCTTTCCAGAGAAAATAAGAAAAGAGACTGGACATTTCTAAGGTAAAGTGAACAGAGAACTACCTCCCCCTCTCACCCTTTCTATGCTTCTAAACCCTGAAGTAAAGGGGAACCTTACATGTCAAAATAAAGGGTGGAAAATCCATTAGGAAGCTCCCCTTGAAACAGGGGTTAAAATAAATTATTATGGAGGATTTTTTTTGTGTGTTATGGCTGAGTTGTTAGTACTGGTACCTCAACAAAACTTAGCGCTCGATCTGAGCAGTTGGATTTTAGTTCAGTTATGGTGAATCAAACAAGTTACCTAAAACATGCACAGTTTTGACAGCTTAAAAAACCTGCCACATTCTGCCTTTGTATTTTGTACAGTTTTATACTTTTGATATTATAATAAATACTAAAACCATTTAGTTTGTGTCTATAGACTTATGTATTGCAGGAAGATGTTTTCTTCCGTGGATACTTGCAACAGAAGCAAGAGCACTGCTGGTAAGTGTAAGCACTCTGCTAAAGGAAACAATAATTTAGAAATGAGTAACTGATAACTTATGTTTAACTATTTAATACGATTTAGTTCTACCAGTGGATGATGGCTTCTAGTAATGAGGTGCATTACACTGTTACAGCAACCATTTTATCTGTAAGAATGTATATAGTGCTATACAAACAAGAAGAGGAAGAGTTTCTTGGAACTGCACTCAGTTTTTCACTACTCTGTTTATGCCCCTGTGCTGCTACCCTCAGCTTGGGAAGTAGGTTCTGTGCTTCAGCAGGCAGGTTCAAGCCCTGCTGCTGGCAGCCTTCCAGGCAGCACTGTGTTACTTAATCCTATCCACACAGAAGGCAACATTTCAGTGCTGGGCAGGGAGCAGTTAGGTGCATCCAGCTGTGGTGGAAGTAGCTCACCCAGAGGTGCCTGTGTCTAGGAAAAGGCATCACCTGTCTCCTGGAGTTGGTCTGTGAATCTGCTGGCTTCCATGGTTGGGTCTCTGCCTCCACTATTCTCTGCTGTAACAAATTCAAGGGCCAGTGACTTTCTGCAATGCTTTAACACTCACAGAAAACTGTTTAGTGCTAAGGAATGTGAGTCTTGTTACAGGAATTTAAGCCTCCATTAAATATCTAAGGCAATTGTAGCCTACTTTTTTCCATTTCTAATAATCCCACAGCCTCTAACTGCACTATACAGCCTTATAGTTCCCAGCCTAAATTAATCTTTTGATGAGTTGAACCACATCCCTTCACCCCATTAGATGGTCAGGGCTGAATAAGAACAAGGGCCTTTGAACCTTAAGTGGAATTTTCATATGCATTTGGGCATGTTTGCACTGAAGGGGAAGACTCAGCTTGGCTCCTATTAGCTACAAGATGCCTCTTTGGTACTTGTTTTGGTCTTGGCTAGGAAGCTTCCCTCCAGACTATCTCCTCCAGTCATCCACCTTAACAGTACTTATCTTTCATGATCACCAGAAATGTGCAAAACGCCTTACTCCAATGCAGCACAGTATATTTCAGGTTGAACAGGTAACACACCATCCCTTATAAGGCTTTAATATCAGCTAGAAATTAACTATTTTCTTTCTGGCAGTTATCTCTGCACGAGGCTTCTCACAGATAAAAAGCTAAATACCATATTTCATAGTTGGGCTCCAGCACCAAACCCTGCTTCATTGTTTGGTCCCCTAACTCCCCAGCCACTCCTCTCAACTAGGGTGCCTAAAGCAGTGCTGTGTAAAAGACTCTCACTGGAATACTCGGGAGACACTGCACTAAATAGCTTCCTAACATCAATGTTATCTAAGTGATAAGCAAAAGAAAACAAGCACCTCCATTCACTCATTCTTTTGTCCTCCTTGGGAAAAGGAGACACAGACACACACGCTACACTTTATCAGTCTGTGTTGGAAGGCTTTCCATTCAAAGCAAACAGATTCTGTAAAAATCACACAATACAGACAACTGAGGCAAAAGTAAATCCTGTTAATGTACATCAAATCGCTGTGAGAGACATGTTTTTAAGCTTTTAAAATACTAAGAACTTAAAAGATGGGAATCAATCAGGACAATCAGTTAACTGCAAACCTCTCATTCAGTAAATTATTTGGGAATACAGAGAGGTTTTGACCAGCTGCAAGCTCCATGCTTGGACATTTATGCTGTTGAGGTTTTTTGCTGCCAAGTTGCCTGAGCTGATGCTCAGGACCTTTTAGGATATGTCATAACAGCAAAAGCATAAAGTAAGGCTAGTAATAACAAGAATCAGCTCCTACACTACAGATAAATATTTTTGTCAGAGAGCAGGGAGAAAGCTAAGTGACACGATTCTGTTCTGTTGCACAATTTCATATTTTAAAGCCAGTTGTTGTATATATTTTATTAGACTAGCCATAACAAGACATCAACTTCTGTTACAGTGACACAGATGGGAGGTTAAGTCATGCCAGCAACCTGCCAAAAGAAGAAAGATCAATCATAGCAAGTCTTGCATAGCAATACTAGTAAGCAAGCACCACTCTCCCTTAAACCCAATTTAAGGGCAAGTAAACTTGACCATACCCAAGACCAAAAGGAAAAAAAAAAAAAATCTTTTAACTGGCTATGGTTATTGTTTTACAATTAATGCAGATCAGGACAGACCGTAGTATCCCCTTCTCCCTGCCCGCTCCCTCCCCCCTCCCCCCCAAAAAAAAAAGGTCATTTCAGTAGGAATTTTATATTTGACTCTGCTCTTTGCCAGAGTTGTGCAACACGTGTTTGTTGCTATACCAGAACAAAAAGTCTATGAAGCTTTATCAGGTTTGGCTGTACAGACCTTCTTTTTACCATGCTCTAATTCACAAGTCAAATGCTTGTGTTAAGAAATAAAAACATAACCACCCATCAAGCACAGTTCACCCTTGCAGGGATTCACTCTATTAGTCTGAGCACTCGTCTGTAGGGCCCTTCAACAATGAACTGTTCCAGGTGTAGTTTCTTTGTATGCTGCTCCTTCATTACATTTAAAGCAAAGTTTGAAGCAAATGCATCAATCTCTTCCTGGAACTCTTTAATACTACTAACAAATTATTATTGTTGGGTCCTCAACTATTATTTTATTACTTCTATACCCTATGAAGTGACAAGTTAGCCCCATTTAACTGCAAAACGTCAGGATAGAGGCACCTAACAGTTTTAGGAAAGGCTGACACACCTTGCTGGGACACCTTTCAATTACCCCTTTCTTGCTGCTTCTCTTTTTCCCTATTCTGCAGGGTAGGGATCATAGTAACCCAAAATTTCTATATCCCCTACTAGGGACCTACTTTGAATATAACCCCAAAGCAAAATGACTTGGTATTTACCATTTTAAGTGGTAAGCTCAACTGAGCTATCAAGTTCACATGCCTATGCTTCTAACTCTAATATTTTTCTAGAAACTTGTCCTTTGTCACTCTTTCTTCCTGGACTAACATTGAATCGTTTTGGTCGTGGAAAAATAGCAGCCACTTACCATTCACTTCTCTGCCACTGCAGGAGTACTCTTTTTAGGCCTAAATTTGAAGTATAAGACGATCATTGCAACGGTGGCGTACGTCGCTAATACATACTGAAAAATAAAAGTCTAGTTTGAGTTCAAAGCCCCTCAAACACCATCACACTACACTACATAAGTTAAGCAATACATACATTCCTCCTGCCTATGATGGTGTAGGAATTGAAGTACTTCTGGAATCCAGTGAACTGGTGTTGAGAGCCCGAGTCATGGCCTGCCATGGTCACTTGTCCTAACAAGCAATACAGGTAAGTTAGGACAGGATAAGCTGCTAATCATATCCAGTTCTACAGTGAGCTTAATGCTTCCGTTGTCAAATATTAAGCTGCCTCAGGGCATTCAGCGGATGCTGAATAAACATAAGGGATAGACATATTCAGAGCACTTTATCTGGAAATGCAGTGTCGCACAAGCTACAGGAATGGAGACAAGGAAGGACAGGGAGGATATTTGTGGTTATATACACACATACATACATATGTATAATACATAAGCTATTATAGCATATACATTATACCTTAGAGCATATGCATATAGCATATGTATATAGCATATGCATTATACATTACATCTTATGTATTACACATATCTATTTATATATATAATGGGGATAGCTGGCTGTTAAGTGTGCAAGCAGTGTAAACACGGCACGGGTGCCCCAGGACACACGGGGAAGGAGGAGCGGGCGAGGGCTACGAGCCGCCTCCGCGGCGCGTCCCTCCTTCTCCCCCAAAGCGCAGCCCGTCCCGCGCGGGGCGCCCTTGAGCGACCCCATCGCCCGCCCTCCG